TATTAATATTTCTGGTGGTAAAGAATTCTGTTTGTATGTCAGAAATATGCTTATTTCATCATCACTTTAAAAAAATAATTTTGCTGAGTATCAAATTCTGGTTAGAAGTTATTTTTTTCCCCAGCACTTTCAAGATGACATTGCATAGCCTTCTTTTGAGAAGATGGCTGTCAAGTTTATTGTTCAGATATTGTGCCTTTTTTTCATCCAGCTGCTTTTTATAATAGTTTTTATTTTTTATTTTCAATAGCTTTATTATATGCTCAGTTTAGTTTTCTTTGGTTTTTGTCTTGCAGTTTTTAAAGCTTCTTGAATATGTCACTTGATGTCTTTCATCAGTATAGGAAAAATTTCGGCAGTCTGCCTTCAAATATTGCTTCTGTCTCATGTTTTTCTCTTCTTCTGTAACTCAAGGGATATATATGTGTTAAATTTTTTTGCCATATCTCATATATCTTCTATGTCCTGTATTTTATTTTCAATCACTTTTGATCTCTTTATTACATGCTAGATTTTTATTCTGACCAATCTTCTACTTCACCAATTTTCTCTTCTTCTTAGTTCAATCTATCTATACTATTAAAATAATCAATTGAAGTTAAACTTCAATTATGACATTGTTTGGCTTAAGAATTATAATTTCCTTTTAAAAATAGATTACAGTTTTCTGGTGAAATTCTTTATTATGTATTTATTTCAATACATTAATCACCATTTATTTGTGATCTGCTAGATTACTGTAATAATTGGATTATCTGCATATCTTTTTTATTTTTCATTTTTTCTCATGATCCTCTTGCTTGGTAAACCGGATAATGTGTTGAATTCTAGATATTGTGCATGGGAAGTTGTGGCCGCTTTATATGTAGATCCTCTAGATCTGGATAAGTAACTTTTAAATATCTGACATACATGGATTTAGGGCATTTATGGAAAGACTTGAATTGATATAATTTTTTCTCTTTTTCTTTTTTTTAACTACTATGATGATGTCTGACATTTAAAAATCTTCTGAACTTTTTATATCTCTTCTTCTCACCTCCAGTTCTATTTTGTAGTCTCATATAAAGTCAGTAGAATACAGATTTTTAACTTATTTGTAAACCTTCTTCCTTCCTCCCCACCACTGAATAAGAATCAAGATTATTGAAGTTTATTACTAATTACCCTTATTTCTTTTTCCCTGGACACTGGCTAATGCTATGAGAATCCTGTACCTCACCAAGTTTCCACTCACTTGATCTCAGATTTTAAAACTGACTAAAATACCTATGAGATCATCATTTCTCTTAATTTAATGACAAGTAAACTGTGGCTCAGAGACATAAAAAACTTGCCTATGGCCACGTGGATATTAATGTGAATACAAAAAATACACCCCAAAGTTCTGGAATTTAGTACTTGTCCCTTTCTACCATTAAGTGAACTCATTTGGCACTAATGAAGGCAATGAGATTCTGAATACAAACTAAATTTAATTTATTCTCGGGTAATTTAAAATTTCTCTCAGATTTTCTCTCCAGAATGGAATAGAATATAAATATTTTAGTTCAACATTTTATAGGGAAGTTGAACCATTATAAAAGTAATGTAAGTATATGTACCATATGCACACAGCATAGTGTCATAAATATATTTTCCACACGTAAATATATTTTACGTGTGGATAAATTATTTTCCACACGTAAGTAAATTTTTGGGTCAAATTTGATGCAGCTGCATAAATTGTTTATAAATCTTTAAAACATTGCTTCACCCTCATCTGTTATTTCTCAGCAGTGGGGTAGACCTATATAATTTTCTGCAGATAGGAGAGAAATATAACTTATTAAAATTTTAGTCTGGTTTTGTAGGAAATAAAGTATATCTAGACTCTAATTCAAAATTAAATTTTCTAGTGTAAAATCTTCCTGAGTGCTTTCTAATAAGTTCATATAGACACCTCAAAACACTATCTGGTTTCCTTAACCTAAATCTATTGTCAAGAAAGGGATTTTATTTTTGCAATGAGACTTAAATATAAGTGAGATTTCCAGTGAAATTAGCTAATGAAAAGATCAGTCAACAAGTTAATCTATAATATTTGATTGAAAGAATGGTTTGGAAAAAGATTTAAAATTTTTTCTCTACCTGTGGAGCTGTCTATGGAATTAAGACTAGAGAGTCTATAGTTGTTGAGAAGATAACCTCCAAAAGAAGAGCTGAGCATTGAAAGACAAATGCAGGTGGTAATTCAAAAACTTGATATAATCTAACAGATATGAAGATGGGTCAAAGGCCAAGAGTCTTTTTTCCAAAATATCTTTATATTTACATGAAGTATATTTATATTTACAAGTGGTGTACAGCAAATCAACTAGAGGATTGAAAGAGATAAAATTCACATAGAATTAGCCTGGTTAATAATGTGGTTTCTTTTCAATGTTTTAATTTTTACCGGAACCCAAACATTTTATGGAGTAGTATATCTACAGACATTAGGATTTTGATCTGCTGCATAAAAGCAAAGAGATGTGCTTTCACAATTTATATCAACCCTGACTTATCAATAATAACAACTTGAAGAAATGCTGTCTAATTTGCAAATAGTGCCAAGATGCTCACCAATTGATTGACTATGATTCTGGCTTCTAGAAAATTTAAATCTCCACATTATGATTTTTCAGTCAATACTAAGGTAGGTAGGTGATACAGAGAGAAATGAAATGGATTTTCAGCAATTTGAAATTCAGACTTCCAAAATGGTACTCAGTCAAGAATGTTATTCAAATAGTTTTACTTTGAAAATAACATCAACAAAAGCTAATATTAAATGCTACAAATAGGAATATAAATTTGTTTTCTGGGTAATGTAAAAGTAGTATACAAACATACTATCAAAATAACAGAGGAAAAACTCAAGAATTTTAATGATATATATTTAAATATGGAAAGAAATGAAAATCCAAAACTTTTAAAGTCAGGGAATATATAAACGCTGTCCCTAAATAGAATAGGCCAATACTAATCAGTAGTAAAGATTGGTGTGGCACGACCTCAATAGTATTGATTTTGCAACATTTAATGAAAATGGACATTGACACCTTTTATTAAAATTTTAATGATATTTTTATTAGAGATAAGGGAAATAAAGAATACATGAGTCACTAAAAATGGGCAATATTTAAGGAATGTAAGGTAAATAAAGCATAACAAAGTAAAATACTTACCCTTTCATCCACATGATGGCGCTGGAAACCGCGTTTGTATTTTTCATTTAACAACAAAGGATAGAGTGAGTTTATATTCCTTAGAAAAGAAGAAGTCCACTCCATTCTTTACTCTGCTGTGGAAGCTGAAAAGGTGAGGATATTAAACACTATAGCAAATTGGGAATTACATTTCCCAAAGCTATTGTGTGGTGGTGCGAAGCCATTTGAAAATTGCACCAAATTTGCGATGGTATATTCCCAAAGAAGTCTGGCAGCCCGGCAGCGTCTGCTGCTCTCGCTTCTGCTCCTTGCAGTCTGGGAGGCTGGAAGCGGCCAGGTCCGGTACTCAGTCCCTGAGGAGGTCAAACACGGCACCTTCGTAGGCCGCATTGCCCAGGACCTGGGGCTGGAGCTGGTGGAGCTGGTGCCGCGTCTGTTCCGGGTGGCGTCCAAAGGCCGCGGGGACCTTCTGGAGGTAAATCTGCAGAATGGCATTTTGTTTGTGAATTCTCGGATCGACCGCGAGGAGCTGTGCGGGCGGAGCCTGGAGTGCAGCATCCACCTGGAGGTGATCGTGGAGAGGCCGCTGCAG